TTCTTCTTCTTCTTCTTCTTCTTCTTCTTCTTCTTCTTCTTCTTCTTTTCTTCTTCTTCCTTTCTTCTTTCCTTCCATTTTCCCCTTTCTTCCTTCCTTCCTTTATTTTCTCTCTCCCTCTCTCCCTCTCTCTCTGTGTATCAGAGTGTAACTTATGGGATTCTGTCTCTTGCTCTAATGTGTAGATTCTGGGAATTGAACTCAGGTTGTCAAAATTGGTGGCAAAGCCCCTTAACTTAAAAACCCGACTTGCTTTCTCACTGACCCTCTTTTGCTTATTTGTTTTGTTTTGCTTTGCCATTGTTTTCTTTTTGGCTTCAATTTTCTATTATTAACATTTGTTTGTATGTATTGGTAGGTAGGTGAATGTGAGCCATGGCACACTATGCAATGGAGATCAGAGGATAATGTGGAGTCAGTTTTTCCTTTCCATGGGCTGGGCATGAGATAAGTGTTTTTACCTTCAGAGCCGTCTTATCAGCACTTCTCCAGGCTGTTCTGGGAACCAGTCTCTCACTGTGCAGCCCAGGCTGACCTCAAACACATGGTCTTCCTGCCTTCTCAGTATACCGTCATACATGGATCAGATCTCTCTCTCTCTCTCTTTTTTTTTTTTTTTTTTTTTTTTTAGTTTTTCGAGACAGGGTTTTTCTGTGGCTTTGGAGCCTCTCCTCGAACTCACAGAGATCTGCCTACTTCTGCCTCCCAAGTGCTGGGATTAGGCATGTGCCACCACCGCCCGGCTCAGATATCTTTCATACGTGGATCAGGTATCTTTCTTAAAACTCAATTTTTCCCATTTGGGTTTAAGTTTGGTTAATTTATATTTTCTTTTTCTTAACATATCTTTATTCACTGTGTATATACATGCACAAATGCTAAAGACCATGTGTGTAAGTCAGAGGACAACATGCTGGAATAGGTTCTCTCCTTCTGCCATGTGAATTCTGGGGCTCCAACTCAGGTCACCAGGCTTGGCAGCAAGTGTCTTTACCTTGCAGGCCCTGATTAACATTTTCTTATCCTCAAGTTCACAGATTCCTTCCTCTGGTTAATCCATTTCCAGTATCATATTTTTACTTTTAAAATTTCCTTTTGGTCCTTTCTGTGGTTCTCATCTATGATGTGGGATCTTTATTAACCATGAATTTTCTTAATGCTGAGAAAGGAACAGTGACAGCAGAGAGACATTGGATAATAGAAAAAACTTCTGAATTAAATCAGTCGGTGTATTTCAAGGATGTGTTGACTTCAGAATGGAAACCAGGACATGTGCTGTGTTGGGGAAGGGGTTTCACTCTTGTTTCCACAGGAGAAGAAAAGCTATGGATACCATCAAAATTAATAAAGTTTTGGTTTGAAAAGGAGAAACCTCTCGATAAAGAGAAATGACAGCTTATCCACAGAGGTGACAATCCTCTTACAGAAGGTTGTAAGGAAACTTCCTAAGGGTTGGGGCAGGGTTCTGTTCTTGCCTTTGCAGGAAAATACCTATATTTGAAGAGGCAAGAGACTATGGACATCTAGAGGCTTAAAGAAGAAAAGATAGCTATCCAGAAAAATATCATCAAGTAAAGAGAAGTCTGACTTATGGTACCAATATCCTCTGTAGGGTAAAATCTTATCGACATACATATAATAGTAGTTCTTCATGTCAATGTGACAGAAGGAAGATAAAAGTTAGGGGATACTATTATCAAAACTCTGCTTTCAAAAGATTTTACTTCTCCCCATACCTATTATTGTCTCCATGGTATCTTTTGTCAAATATATATCTATATGAATAATGTTTAAGTTTTCCACAATGAACAATAAATTTTCCTGCAGTAATCTCTGAAATTTCCAGGAAGAAGATGGGGCCCACAACGATTCCACCTGACTGATATGATATCGTGATGCTGATAGTGCCACTTTAAGATCATCTTATGTTACAAACTCCTCAAGATGATTCCAACTTGGCTAATTGACATGGTGCACCTTCTTACAATGTTCTGGCCAGAATTTCAAATAAGAACTTCCGAAAAATCCTACCAACTACTCAGAGACTATCTGCAATTGTACCAGACAGTAATCTTGACACTTAGTCATCATTTTAGTTTTTACAGGATCCCATACAACTAACATCGTCCCCACGACAGCTGAAAGTAATTAAAAAAAAGATATCCCCTCTCCCAACAAAGTTTGTCTTCAGGGTTAGGGACATCTATTAGGGGTTGGATATAGGGTTGGGGGTGGAAATGAAGAAAGCTCAAGGATCTCTTTTGAGAAAAAAAAAGGATTGGATGGGAAGGGATAATAGGTAGATGAGTGTGAGGTTGCTCACACTAATAATAGTAAGTGATAGTGAGATTACTTATGAGCTATTATTTATAGATGATTTACACTGCTATATATTCTTGTATTTTGATACAAATTCAAATTATATTTGTTATATTGAATATGCTCCTATTTCTGCTTACAATATTTGTGCACCTATGTAAAGTTATTTTGTCATATTGTATGAATGTTTCTACCTCTGATTAAGATATTCTGTTTATTGATTCAATTTTAGAATATATTTATCATATTGCAATATACATTTCTACCTCTGATCAAGATACTTACATATTGTTTACATTTTGAGGTCATTGTCCTCATTTGCTGCACATTTGCTTAAAGACTTTTTTTTTAAATATGAAGCCTTTATGAAGTCTTTATTTAAGCTATATAGGTATTAAGAATTATAGGTCAACAGTCATTCATGTTTGTCACACTTATAGTTAGACTAATCAGGTTCTTTAGATGCATAGAGATTGTATTTAGTATAGATAGGTAACCTTCAGACATTTCAAAGAACTGTAGAATATGGCATTTAAATAACTAATGGCTCTGTTTATATGAGACATGATTGTTCCTGACAGTACTGATTTATTCCAGAGAGAATGTTGGGCACCAAAGACACTTGGAGCTTGTTTCCTTCTTGGCAAAACTGGCCTTTTTCTGGCCTTGCCTCAAACACTGACAAAATGCATGGTGTCTAGACTGGACAGGCAGGATACAAGCAAAAAGACTGCCAAACATTGCCAAGACAGGGTAAGATGCTTTTCAAATTTTTCTGCCTCTGAAAATGGTCTGTCAGTTACTCTAGGTCGTAGCCAAAGTTGGTTGCCCCAATGTTGCAAATGAAACTTTGGATGATTGCCCAGGTAGCTGGTTATCTCTGTCATTTCTTGCACCTTTTGGAAGTTACTTGATTGCACTTCAAGTAATATTATTTCCCTTCTCGGGTCTTTGATGGGGTTGAGGATTAGATAGACAAAGTTACTTTCTTTCCATGACTTAGTAAAGCCATTTTAAATATAAGATTTAGACTCCTTAGGCTAGAATATCTATTGAAACATTTAGCATATGTTTCTTGTTTGATATTGTTCATGCTGGTTTTAATTCTAATCTTTATGGATGCTTTTGCCTCTTCTTTTTCCTGGGAGATACTTGATATTTGTTCTTATTGTATATAGTTTTGTATTAGGTTTAAAACTCTCCAATTTAGACAAAAGGGGGAAATGCTGTGTGAATTTCTTTAGTCAACAGCCTTTAAAATATTCTAGGTTATTGTGGAATTCTTTTGTATGCCAACACACCTATCTTCTAAAATTTCCTGTTTGTTTATGCATGCTGCTCACCTTTTTCATCCCCTCTCTGATTTATACTCATGACTAAAGTCTCTTCTGACCATAGTGCCAGTGTCACTTCTCCAAGTCACTGTCTAACAGCGTATCTTCCTCGTGTGTCTGACAATTATAACTTTATACTGTTCATTGTGGATAAAAACTTGTTGAGACACAAGTAAATAGTATTGATCGAAGAAGGGCAGACTTCCTCCTTGGTCAGAACACTCATGAGACAGGATGAACCAATCAATCTGAAGTTGAACAGTCAAGTCCAGATTATGCTATGACTTTAATGAGGTTTAGTCACTTTAAATATACAGCAAATGAGATCAGAGCTTCCCTGCAGCAGAACCCGGTGTCAGCATGTAAATGAGATAGGAGTTCCATCTCTTAAGGTTTTACAGCTGGATCACAGACTTGTAGAACTTCTAGCTTAGTAGGTAGGTCTGACTACTGTCCAGCTTGGTTTTCTGGGATTCTGGGCACCTTTTGCTGTGCCCTATCCTTGCCTCAGACTTTAGAAAACTGATATTTACTTAGAAGAAGCCTTGCATTTAAGAGGGACTTTGTGATGGTTTGAAAGAAAATGGCCCCCAAAGGGAGTGGCACTCTTAGGAGGTGTGGCCTTGTTGGAGGAAGTGTGTCACTGTGGGGGTGGGCTTTGAGGTCTCTTATGCTCAAGCTTCCCTCAGTATGACAGTCAGTTGACTTTCTGTTGCTTGCAATTTGCAGCATTCTTAATTTCAGCGCTAAGTCCACATCTGCCTGCATGCTGCCATGCTCCCCACCGTGATAATGGTCTGAATCTCTGAAACTGTAAGCAAGGGCCATCCCCATTAAATATTTTCTTTACAAGAGTTGACATGATCATGGTGTTTTTTAACAGCAATAAAAACCCAAACTAAGACAGACTTCTTCAAGGACTCTTGCCCCCAGTTACACCCCTATGCTCTGTGAGACCTACAGGAAGGCCAGCGACAGAATGCAGGCTGTATGCTGGCCTGGGAGGACTCAGTCACTCACTTGCTGCCCATTCCTTGATCTTGTAGCCCCTCTTTTCTCTACAGAAACGAAAGTGCCACAGTCCAGTGCCCAGGGAGGGCTGTAGACCTTCTAGAACTTGACCTATCCAGGCTTCTTGGCATCTTTAGGCATTTGATGAAATTAGGAAAACAAGCAATGCTGCTGTGGTTGGTTAAGCTGTCCCTCATGCTCCAGTGGGCAGGACCACGTGCTGTGGGCAGACTGTGTTCTGCCAGCCTCCACAGTCTATCGGGAGGCGAGATCCTGAAAGGCTTGTTTTAGAAAACTGGGAGAGGGCTGGAGAGATGGCTCAGTGGTTAAGAGCATTGCCTGCTCTTCCAAAGGTCCTGAGTTCAATTCCCGACAACCACATGGTGGCTCACAACCATCTGTAATGAGGTCTGGTGCCCTCTTCTGGCCTGCAGGCATATACACAGACAGAATATTGTATACATAATAAATAAATACATGAATAAATAAATATTTTTAAAAAAAAGAAAACTGGGAGAGACTAGAGCCAAGTGCTTCAGGGCTGGGATTTCCATCTGTCCTCAGTCACCATGCCCTCTGAAGTAACGGTATTCTGTTCAATTCTCAGAATGTTTGGGGTGAATGAATTTTCATTACAATAAAAATAGATTTGTTATTCTCTGAAACCAATTGTCCCTCTGCTTTCCAAGAGTAATTACTCATTCTAAAACCCCAACATCTCATAACATTGCTCCCTGAATTGTAGACATTTTTAATGCCAAGTCATCAATGCATTCCACTTTTCTGTTTATTTTATTCACTTGAGTTATGGACACAATCTTAATTAGAAAAATTTGAACCAGATATGGTGGTGCATGCCTGAAATTCAAGAACTCCAGAGGCTGAGGTAGAAGGATTGAGTTATACAGCAGGGCACAAATAAGAATTTTAAATTCCTTTATCAATATAGTGAAACAGAGGAAAATGAAGGCAAGCAACTTCTTGGAATTCTCTTCTGTGGAGGTTTAAGTACTCCAGGGTTAAGGCTCCATATTTAATATGTGAAGCCCACATCTGATGAGCTCTTTCTGTTGTGGGAGAGCTGGGATGCTGTGAGACTATTTGCAAGTGACTGGTCCTGCCGGTCTCTGAGCACTAGGATGCAGGTCTTGCCCAGAGTTCACAGTTTAACATGCCATAGAATCTATAGAATGGAGGAGACATGCTCCTGAACCCCAGAGTTCCCTACGGCTGGAGCCTGGGACAGCTGCCTTCCTGATGGCAGCATTCATGGGAAGATGTCTTCCTATGAGCGTGCGTAGGTTCCAGAGGCGGCTGTGAGTCAGGTACCTGTGAGGCTGTGGACAAAGCTTGGGCATATGTCTTTACATGATGTCTGTGAGCATCCTCAAGAAAAGGAAGGAACTGAGGGGCCAGAGAGACAGCTCAGCAGTTAGGAGTACTCATTGCTCTTGCTGAAGAACTGGGTTTAGTTCTTAGCACTCACTATTTGCAAGTCTAGCTTCAGGGAATTTGATGACCTCTTTTGACCTCTGCAGACACTTGCATGCGTATGGTACACACACACACACACACACACACACACACAAATAAAATAGATAGTTGGGCATGGTAGCACACACTTTAATCACAACACTCAGAAGACAGAGAGAGACAGGTGGATCTCTGTAAGTTTGAGGCCAACCTTATCTGCATGGTAAGAACGAGTTCTAGACCAGCCAGGGCTACCACAGTGAGTTCCTTTTTAAAAATAAATAGTCAGGTATGGTGGTGCATGCCTTTAAACCCAGCACTCTGGAGGCAGAGGCAAATGATCTCTGAGTTCAAGACCAGCCTGGTCTATAGAACGAGTTCCAGGGCAGTCAAGGGAACACAGAGAAATCCTGTCTGGAAAAATCAATCAATCAATCTTTAAAAGGGATGTTGATGGGAATTTAGCTCAGTTTGCTTGCTTGGCAAACACAAGGTTCTGAGTTTGGCTCTCAGTTTCCATTTAAAAAGGGGCTGAGGGTACAGAGCTTAGAAACAGACAGGCCAGTGGCAGGTCTTCTCTTCTGCAACTGTGCTCTAGCCGACAGTTCCCAGGAGTTCCAGAACACTCCATCCTACCTTGCCTGTGCAACCACTTGGAGGGCATCTATCATGTGGGAGGTGTAGGACCAGCTCAGTGCCATCCACTTGATAACTCTGCTCACCAGGCCCCTGGTGTGGGCCTCTGCCCCCCATTATCTCACTTTAGTTCACCAGAGAATGGTGCAGGAGAATTATCTGTATTCTGTCAATCATATTTTAATAAAACGCTGATTGGCCAGGCAGGCAGTATAGGCGGAAAAGCCAGACAGGAAGTAGGGGTGGAGCAAAGAGACTGGGAGTATTCTGGAAGCAGAAGCTCTCTCTCAGGCACTCCTGCGCAGATCACTGAAGAGGCAGCATGTAACTTGCCCAGCTGAGAAAGGTACGGAGCCATGTGCTAAAGTAGATAAGGATAATGGGGTAATATGTGTCATAAGAGCTAATAAGTAGCCTGACCTAATGAGCCAATCAGTTTATAATCTTACGGAGTCCTGTGTGTGATTTTTCTTTGTTGCTTGCCGGCTGTTGGGGTACTGGGAGGGACAGAAACCCCAACAAGCCAGCCCTCATACTACAAGAGAACTTGTTAATAATCATCTTAGACGGGGGCATCTTTAGCTTGGACATGTGGACGTGGTAGGGAAAAAGGCTGTCCCTAGTGGGAAATCCACTCAGTCTCAGCAGATGGGGCTGTAATCCTGCCTTCCCTCATGAGGTATCACCATCTCCATTTCAAAACAGAGATGGTAATCTCCCTCCAGGGAACATGTGGGGCAGTGGTATGCCAATGAGAAAGCAGAAGAGGAAGAGAAATAAATGATCTCTGACAGAAACCTGAGTGCAGCCACAGCGGGACCTATAGAGAATCCCACCCTGCACACTCAAGCCATGAGAGAGACTTTGACAATGGAAATCAGCACAGGGCAAATCATCACAGGACTGAGCACAGGACAGCAGCATTCAATGCCTTGGGTCTACCAGAAGGCGTCTGTTAGCACAGTACCACCTTTGGAGAGGAAGGGATATGAGCCAGGGAGAGTGTGAGACTTCAAAGTCCCTGTCCTAGAGGGGCTCTGGGTCAGAGTTTGGATTCTGTAACTTCACTTCTTTACACACACACACACACACACACACACACACACACACACACACACACGAGAGAGAGAGAGAGACAGAGAGACAGAGACAGAGAGAAAGAGATAGACAGACAGACAGCAGGAGGCAGAATGGGACCCATGAAAGCTCTATGTTTCTCTATTTTGCTCTTCAACATGGAACTATAGGGGGCTTCACCCACCCAATACAGGTTATATCCTGTCAAGCCTGGGCTGTGAGGTTGGCTTGCTGTGGGGTCCCATCTCTGCCATTAGCTGTGCATGGGGCACTGGACAGGCTACCTAGCTTTCTGTGACTCAGTTTCCTCATCTGTTAAATGGGGTTAAGATCAGTGTTTTGCTTATAGGCTACACAGCTCACTAAATGTGTGTCATTGAATGATGCAACTCTCTGGAGACAGGCATGAGCCTTCTGGTATATATTACCTTCACCTCAAAGTTCCTGTTATGATTTCACTATTGATATTCAACAGTGTACTTCAAGTCCTACCCAGAGTATAGAGGAGAAAAGGAAAGAACAAGAAGGCACATTTAAATTAGAAAGGAAGCAATTCCATAAACAGCAACCTCTAAAAGAGCTCAATACTTAAGAGTGAACCTACCAAAGAGATGAGAAACCTGTATGTTAAAAACTATAAAGAACAGTTAAAAAGAAACCAAAATAAATGGAAAGGCATTCCATGTTCATGGATAGGACGACTTGCCATGATGATACTGATACTGCCATTCAAAGGGATCTACTGACTCAACACAGACAGCTTAGAGAAGCAAAACCAAAACCTCCATTTACATGAGTCTGCGAGGGGCCTCCTTGCAATGTGTTGTTAAACAGAAATATTTTTCTCCAGACGTCTGGAGACGGAATATTTCAGGGATGCTGGGGCATCTGTCTGACCTCATAACAAGAGCCCCAGTGAACAAGAAGGGAGCTGACCATTTCTTCCTAGCTTCTTTATTGTTAAACTGTATCTTATCAACATTACCAGATGTGACCAAAAGCAGTCACAGAAGCTATTCCTCCATCCAGGAGGATACAAATTATTTGATCTCAGAGCAATGTCTGGTGCCACCGAGCTAGATCAGGGCTAATGGGGAACCTGCTGTGTGAGGCACAGATCTGCTGGTCACGCCTTCCACCTCACCCCCAAAATTTATGTACTTTTTTTCGTTTTCAAGACAGGGTTTCTCTGTGTAGACCTGATTGTACTGGAAATGACTCTATAGACCAGGCTGGCCTTGAACTCAGAGATCTGCCTGCCTCTGCCTCCTGAGTGCTGGGATTAAAGGTGTGCTTCTCCGTGCCTGGCTAAAATTTAATATGTTGAAGTGTGTCCTGGCTACTGACAATTCTATTTACATGAATGACTTATTTGTTCTGGGAAAATAAATGGAAGTTCTCTTACACATACTGACAGAGAGAAAGAAACAAATGTCGAGAAGTTGTGCTGGGTCTGCCTCTGCAGAAATCCCTGCTCTCCCTCTAACCACAGAGAAAACTCCACTTTTCAAGACTTTCAGGGAAAAGAAACTGTAAAAATGCAATCTTTCATATTGTTTTTCTTTCTTTTTTGATTTTGCAAGACAGGGTTTCTCTGTAGTTTTGGAGCCTGTCCTGGAACTGGATCTGTAGACCAGGCTGGCCTCGAACTCTCAGAGATCTGTTTGCCTCCGCCTCCAGAGTGTTGGAATTAAAGGCATGTGCTACCATGCCCAGCTTCATATTGTTAATTTAAAAAATAACTGTATTACAAAAATTTGGATCTCTACCTCATTCACCTTGTACGTGTTCATATTACAGTAACAGAATGTCTGCCATAAATAGCTTAATGGGTTACTTTGCTCAAGGTTTCAGAGGTCTTGGCCCATCACGGTATGGAGGGTAGAGGGGAGCAGAACCTCTCAGCAACCATAGCAACTGGCTTCTTTTCTTCCCTTCAGTGGGGCTCTAGCCTATGGCGATGGCTCCACTCACCTTCTGCGAGAGTCTTCCTTCTCAGTCCTCCTAGACGTTGGTCTTCACAGACAAGCCCGAGCTGTGAAAAACCTCCTTGGTCTTAATTTAATCAACTGACAATCAATATTAGCCTTGTGTTGTGAATATTTTGTAGCAATGTTTTAAACTTTTATTAAATGTTGACAGATTATATCTGTGTGTAGTGTGAATCTAATAATAGAAATCCAGAATCAAACATCAGGGTGGATGCTGAAAGAGCAGAGAAGTAAAGGAGCCAACCACCAGAAAGACTTCTTATCTCTACTGAACCCTCAGACTGAAGTGGGCAAGATCCTGTCCCCACAAATTCTCAGACTGAATGAGGAAATTCGGTCTCCTCCCGCCTTATATTCCTCTCCATCCAGCCATATCCTTTCCTGTAGTCACCTCCCTAGTGCTGGGATTAAAGGTGTGTGAATACCAAGTACTGGGATTAAAGGTGTGAGCCACAACCACCTAGTTCTTTTTCTCTATTAGATTGGATCAATTTTGTGTAGCCCAGAGTTGCCTTGAACTCACCGAGAACCATCTGCCTCTGTCTCCAGAATGCTGGGAATAAAGGTGTGTGCCACCACTGCCTGGCCTCTCTTTGACTAACTAATATGGCTAGCTCCTCACTCTGATCTTCAGGCAAGCTTTATTTTTTACAGTACAAACAAAACATCATCACAGCTGTGGATCTGGGAAACCTTGAGGCCAGGAGATACATTAGCTGTGGCACTAATGGTGCATGGCTTTTCACAAAGTATGGAGAATCTGGGTGGGAAAGTGAGGTCTTAGCTCCAGGATCCATGGGTGCTTGTGGCTCCTGTGTTGCAGATTTGCCACGAGGCTCAAATTTTGCCATCTCATGGTGTGGCATAGATTTCCACTATATTCCCACTAGAGCCCTCCAGTGGAGCTATGGGCCAGCATGCTCAGGACAGCTGTGCGCAGTACCATCTTTGCTCAGGTCTGGTCTTGTAGCTTCTGGTCACATCAAACCATTCTCCTGGCAGTGTTTATCTCCCAGGCGGATGCTGGTAGCTCTGGATCTTGGGAGGATCCTGGTTGCTGCCTCAAGAACGGGAACTGTCAAAGAACAAAATTCAGCAGGTGGGATATGTCGGGGGTGGGGGTTTTGAGAAAAACAGGGCCATATGCACAGAAAGTCGTTCATCTTTCGTGACTCTGGTCACTGCACTGGATAGCAGATAAGAGCTCTGTGGGTGGCCAAAACCCCAGCTGTTGAAGGCAGCACCAGGAATAAGGCAAGACTGTCAGCGGAGCGGGATGCAGTTGTCAGTCTGAAATGTCTCTCATATGCTCGGATACTTGATTCCCAGATAATGGCAGTGTTTTGAGGGGCTGTGAAACCTTTGGGATTTGTGGACTAGTTAGCAGAAGTAGGTTCTCTCTCTCTCTCTCTCTCTCTCTCTCTCTCTCTCTCTCTCTCTCTGTCTCTGGGTGTGTGTGTGTGTGTGCATGTGTGCACATGCACGCGGGCATGGGGTGTTGGGGAGAGTTGGAGGCGGTATCTGCTCTCTGACTCCTGTCTACCAAGATGTGAAGAGCTCTGCCACGTGCTCCCTCCATGGGCTGACCTGACGGACACCTCTCTTGAATTGTGAGCTGAAGTAAACACTCACCGTTTAAGCTGCTTCTTTCAGGTTTTCTGTCATGGTGACAAGGAAAGTAACGGATACAAAGCAGAGCCACCGCACAGCACTGACCGGGCCTGCAGAGGGAGCGTGAAACTGAGCAGGTGCAGATCTGTGGCTCACTCTGATTGTCCCAGTCACTGTTCTATTGCTGTGGAGAGACACCATGACCAAGGCAACTTATAAAAGAACCAACACATTTTCCTAATCCTAAGATATGTCCCCAGACACTGGGGAGAAGGGGTTGGTTCCAGCTACATTTGAAAATACAGTAGACCTGAGAGAGAAAATATTTGAGCTGAGAGTGTCTGCTTCCCAGGAGCCCTACTTACCGGGTTTGATCGTGTGTGATGTTTGCTGCACACATGGCCTCTTGCAAGCCCTGACATCCAAAATCCAAGGCATGGGTCTAGATTTCTTTCTCCACAATCTTGCTTGTTTACCTGCTCCTTGGTGTGTTTCAGTCTGATTATGAATGGAAAGCATAGAGGAACACAAACCCTGTCCCCATCACCTTTTCTGTTCAGTGGCTAGACTTTGGGCTCTGCCTACTGTCCCTGATACTAACCTCTGGATGTTGCTAGACATCTTTTGGGTCACCCATCCACATCAAGCTGACAAGCCTAGTGAGGTCTCTTCCATTTTTGTCCCAACAACCATGATATTCCTTCCCAAAAGTCCCTGAGCTTGCAAACCCAGCTCCTCGTGGCCTCCAGTCACAGCCTTCTGTTTCCTGTTTTATATCTGGGTTTTGAGTTTTCTGCTCATTTTCCTGGCGTGTTCTTTTCCCAAGTCTCTGCAGAGCTGCTCCCTGCTCCTCCAGGGCTCCACATGTTTTCGATCACCAGCCCTCACTGACAACATCCCTAAATCTTCCAGATGCTTCCCAGGTGCTCAGCGGATATGTGGGTGTCTATGTCTTGGTGACCAGAAGAAGGGAGCACTGCCCTGGAGACCTCCTCAGAGCCTAGACTACAACTTAGGGTGGATATGCCTAGTGCTCCACCGTTTCCACACTATTATTCTGTAAGTTATGAAATACCTGAACAACATTTGAGAAAGGCAGAGTGTCTCAAATTGTTTACTAGTAGAGCTGGTGCACTTGATAGTGACTTGGGAACGACCGGTCTGCCTCTCCATAGGCCTCTCTGGTTGAGTACAGGGTGTCCTCTAGCCTCAGAAGACAGATGTGATTTCATTAAACTGATGGAAGAGCTGTATTGCCAGGCCCATTTCTTGGATGCAAACTTAGTGCTTTTTGATAAAGAAGGAACTGGAGGTTCCTCTGGTCTTGTCCTCCCAGGAAGAGGAAAGCTTTGCCAGAGGGTGGACATCTGAGTGAGGCAGGCTAGATGTACCCAGTCCACCCTGTGGCCTGAGGGTGAGAGAATCAGGGCAAGGGTGAACATGACACTCTCTCACTGGCTAGCTGGCAGCAGGATGAGGACTCAGGGCTTTGGGATCTGAGCAATGCTGAGAAGAATGGAGTAGTGCAGGTGGAGTGTGCCCCAACAGAATCAGGTGCTTTCTCAGAAGCAGGTGGCACAAGTGCCTCTGGGCAATCATAAAGTCAGAAGGGCTCTCCTAGGATAGGCGTGTTCAGAAACCCCTGTCCATTTCTACCCAGCAGCTCTCCAAATACCCAGGAGCAGAGCCTTGGCTGGCAGAGACTATCCCCGGAGTAGAAGAATACCCCAGGCATGAAGAGTATTATAGTTCCGTACTACGGGAGAAGCAGTACTACAGCAGGCACAAAGGTCCAAGTCCGTGTGACAGTGACAAGAAGCTGGGCTTCCTCTAACGCAATGGGAGGCCCTAAGGGGTTTTAAACAAGCCCTGATACAATTCCTCACAGTGATGGAGCGATGTGGCCGGTGGCCCTGGTCGCACTGGGCAAGAAAAAAAAAATGAGAATTTGGGCAGGCTGAGAAGAAATGGGAGGTGTCAGGCTGCCATGGAGTTGCCACGCTAGGATGGAAGAACTGGGAGGAGCCCTTTGGGAGTTACCTGCTGCCTAAGAAAAGTGGAGCGGAGTAGGAGAGGCAGTACGGGATGGGGGTTGGGGTTGGGGAGGTGTATGTTTGCTGGCCTTCCCCCGGTCCTCAGTCTATTTAGAAAGTACCGTAGCAGGTTTGGAACTCCACCTGTTAGATCTTTTTCTCCATCCATGCCTGCTAAGGGATCGAATTTGTTCTGTACACAGACTCCCAGACCCTTGTCATCCGCCACTGGATCTGCCCACCTTTCTCAAAGATCTGATTTTCAAAACACGTAGGTAACAAGATGGCCTTCAGCACCCTCCAGTTTGTTTTTGTGATTTTTCTTTTTTCTTTTCTTTTTTTGAACAGCTAAGTGGTGTCACTAGCCACGCCTGCCTGACAATCCCAGCAACAACTAGCCTCCTACCCAGATCACCTTCCCTGGCTAGGGCGCTGTCCAGCTCCTGGGTCGTCGGCCCTAGCTCCAGCCGTACTCAGGCCGGATGCGTCCCTCCCGCTGTCCACTTGAGGCCGCGGCGACCAGCCCGGTAGCGCCCCACGCGGATGGGCTGCTCCACCACGCGGACTCAGGCCCGGGTAACCGCGCCAAGGAGTGGCAGAGGCGCATTCCCGGGTACGCGCAAGGGAGGGGAGGCCCGGGGCGGGAACAGCTGGGGGCGTGTCCAGGAAGGGGATCCAGCCTGGGAGGGGCGC